AACTCTAAGAAGAAGGGCAAGTTCTAACCCAAATGGGAAGGGCCGTTCGTGATAGAGACAGTCTATTCGAATAGACCTTAGCGCCTCATCAAACCAAGTGGCGATAAGATCATGGTGTCTATAAATGGTAAATTCCTGAAGAAGTACTACCCTTAGTCCTCCTTCAATTCTCTCCTTACTTTTACTAGTATACGAGTATAAACTGCTTCTTATTTTCCTCCAACTGGTATACGAGGCTAAACTGCTCCCTATATTTTCATTTTGAACAAATCTTCTTACAGTTAGGACCAAAAGCCAAAATCCCCTTCTCGATTCATTTCATGAACGAGAGGTCCACTGAATCGAGCGATTAAACCTTTGAACAGCTAAGATCGCCTCGAACTCCCACTGTCATGTTAACAGTTATCTATGACACAATCAACTTATCAATCCTCTACAATGGGATGATAGGTCCTCGAAGTCGCTCTAATCGCGACAATTCTTATTACGTTAATGATTACCTCAAATGGGCGTATTAAGGTCGGCTATCCAAATAAGAGAGTAGATGGAAAGAACAACAACAACAAGACTGAGAGGAGAGAAGACAAGGAAGAAGCGAGCTATGTTTTAGAGAAGACAAGGAAGAAGGGAGCGAGAATGAATGCTATGTCGTCACGGGTGGCGAGGATATCTCCGGAAAGTGGATTCTTGATTCAGGTTGCTCTCATCATATGTGCTCAAATAGGAAGTGGTTTACTACCTTCAGAAGCATTGATGGTGGAATCGTATTGATGGGGAACAACCATGCTTGTAAAATGATGGGGCTAGGTAGTACCAAGATCAAGATGCATGATGGAGTGGTCTGAACCTTGACGGATGTAAGGCACGTTCTCAACTTACAGAAGAATCTTATCTCAGCTGGCGCACTAGATTCCGGTGGATGCATGATTATTACAGAGAATGGGGTAAAGAAGGTTGTTCGGGTTCGCTAGTAGTGATGAAAGGTGTTCATCACGGTAATTTATACACTCTCTCAGGAAGGTGATGGGAGATGCAACTGTTAGAACTGAAGGAAGTGGTGGAGACCCATGTGAGCACACACGGTTATGACATAAACGGCTTGGGCACATATCAGAGAAGGGTCTGGATCTGCCTGGTAAGGAGGGTTTGCTGAAGAATCTGAAGAAACCTTACATGGATTTTTGCAAGGATTGTGTGTACGGGAAGGCGCACATGGTCAAATTCTTGAAAAGCAATCATAAGAGCAGAGGTATATTAGACTATGTGTACACAAATTGTGGGGTCTGGCTCAAAAAACTTCCAAGGGTAGTTCCGGGTATTTTGTCTCGTTCATAAATAATCATTCGAGGTATGCTTGGATTTATTTTCTTAAGTATAAGAATGATGTATTCGAGACATTTAATAAGTGGAAGGGGATTGTTGAAAACAGGACATGGAAGAAATTGAAGACATTATGATCTGATAACGGTACATAATATACAGATGGTGCTTTCAAAGAGTTCTATGATCAGGAGGACATTGCTAGACACTGGACAGTCAGATCTACACCACAGCAAAATGGAGTCGCGGAGAGGCTGAACCGAACATTACGAGAGAAAGCAATGTGTATGTGATCTTATGCTGGATTGTGCAAGGAATGATGGGTAGAAGTGGTGGCTACAGCTTGTTATATTGTGAACCGTTCTTCACATTCTATATTGGATGGTGATACACCCTATAGGGTGTGGTCAGGGGAGCATGCAGATTATGAGAGGCTCTGGATTTTTGGGTGTACCGCCTATTATCACGTCAACAAGGGAAAACTTGATGTAAGGGCCAAGAAGTCTATATTCTTAGGATATGCAAAGTGTGTAAAAGGCTACCGTCTTTGGTATGCAGAAGATTCGAAGCTCCTGATCAGTAGGGATGTTACCTTTGATGAGAAATCCATGATTGCTAAGGCGCCCCAGGATGATGGTGTTGGGACTGTTGGGACTTTAAAGTCCTAAGTTATTGAGATAGAACCTAAAGACCAACTAGGCTCTAGCCATGTTCAAGTGAAAAATCAGTTAGATGATGAGGTTGAGGATAGGAGAATACACAAGCACTATAACAATAGCAGCTCGGAGATAGTTTGGCTTTCACTAAACCAAAGCGAGCATACAAGCAGGTACTGAAGTTGGGGGTTGATCAACCCCTGAAGCACTATGGGCATGTTAATTTGGTGGAATACGTACCCTCGGTAGAGGATGATGAGTCGATCTCCTTCAAGAAAGATATTTGGGATACAGATAGTGAGAGTTGGTTAGCTGCGATGGAGGAGAAGATGGAATCTCTTCGGAAAAACCAAATATGGGAGGTGGTCCCATTGCCTGTAGGAAGAAAAGTTATTGGTTGTAAGTGAGTGTATAAGAGAAAGGAAGATCCTTCAAAACTCGATGGTACAAGGTACAATACGAGGTTAGTGGCTAAAGGGTTTGCACAAAGAGAGGGATTACAATGAGATATTTTCTCCGGTGATGAAACATATTTCTATTCGGGTGCTATTGAGTATTGTTGCTCATGATGATCTTGAGCTGGAACAACTCGATGTAAAGACGATCTTCTTGCACGGAGACTTGGATGAAGAGATATATATGTATCAACCTGAGGGCTACAAGATTTAGGACAAGGAGAATCATGTGTGTCGCTTGAGGAAGTCACTCTATAGACTGAAGCAATCTCCTCGGTAGTGGTACAAGCGATTTGAATCCTTCATGCTGAAGCATGGATTTTTCCGAAGCGATTATGATTGTTGTGTTTACATTCGGAAGCTTTGTGAAGGTGATTATGTCTATATTTTTTTGTATATGGATGACATGCTTATTGCTTCGAGGAATAAGGTGCAGATAAATAGGCTGAAATCTTAACTTGGTAAAGAATTCGAGATGAAGGACATGGACGCTGCAAGGAAAATACTGAGTATGGAGATTAGAAGAGAGCGGACGAATAGATGATTGTTCTTAAGTCAGGAGGGCTATATAGAGCGGGTGATCGTGAGGTTCGGGATGTAAAGTGCTAAGTCGGTGGTGACTCCATTGACTCCACACTTTAGGCTTTTAGGCAAACAATCTCACACTATAGTAGAAGAGAAGACACACATAGAACGTGTTCCCTATGCTAATGCGGTTGGCAGCTTAATGTATGTAATGATGTGTACACACCCAAATATTTCACAGGCGGTCGATGTCGTCAGTATATTCATGGCAAATCAGGGAAAGACGCATTAGGAAGTGGTGAAGTGGGTCCTGAGGTACTTGAAGGGTATCGTTACTACGTGTTTGTGTTTTGATGGAGATACATGTCAGATTGATGGGTTTGTTGACTCTGATTGTGCGGGCGATTTAGATAGACGTCGATCTACTACTAGTTATGTATTCAGGATACATGGAGGTCCAGTTAGTTGGCGATTGATGTTACAGACTACAGTGACACTTTCTACTACATAGGCTGAGTACATGGTCATGACGGAGGGAGTGAAGGAAGAATTATGGTTGTGGTGTCTTCTAGATGATTTGGGGATTGAGCAGGAGAACGTAAACTTATGGTGCGACAGTCAGAGTGCGATTCACTTGGTAAAGAATCAAGTTCATCATGTTCGTACCAAGCATATCGATGTCAGGTATCATTTCGTGCGGGATGTCATAGAGGAAGGTGATATTTCTCTCATGAAGGTGCACACGAATAAGAATCCAGTAGACATATTGACCAATGTGGTGACATGTAGCAAGTTTCAGCATTACTTGGACTCACTTCATATTAGCTCGTGTGGATCTACCCAAGAGGGTATGGCCCTCTGGGACGGTGGTGGGGTGAGGTGAAGATAATTATTTGGAGAATAATTACAGAACTACGATTAGCTTGATCCTGATCAGATGGTATGTAGGTAGCCGTGATATACTGGCGCAGCTGGTTTGACCTGGTTTTAGCCTGGTTTAGTGTTTCAGATCTCCCTGGTGATGTTTGCGGAGTTTCTTCTGGTGTTCGCCCAATATTTGAGGTTTATTAAATGATGTACAAGGTGAAGAATTGTGAACAGTCCGAGACACCATTTGGTGTCTCGGACTATGCACGTCACTGTTCCCTGAGATAGTGAACGGTGTCTCGGGTGAAGTGACAGGGGTTTTTTTTAGGCTTTTTCAGATCCGTTTTTTGCCTGTTTTTCACTATAAATAGGAACCTATTTTCTAGGGTTTTTGAGAGGAGAAAAATGAGGGTTTGGGCGGCTACAAAAAGGAGAGTCTTTTCAGATCTAGATCTGAGATCTTAAGGAGAGAAAAAGAGAAAACTTGGAGGGATTTTACAAGAGAGATGTCAATTTCTTTTGGATAAAAATCAAAGCTTCTTCTTTGGGACGAACTTGTGGGTTGTACAAGTCGTCAATGTTCTCATTCATAGTGAAATCTCCCCTCCCCCTTCCCCGTGGACGTAAACAAGTTTGTCGAACCACATAAATCTCGTGTCTTTACTGTTTTCTGGGTGTTGGCTATTGCTTGTAGGTTCCCTCGACAATTCAGTCCTAGAATTGATGAGAGAAGAAGAGTGTATATCTTATTTTGTTGAGATATTTTAATTCTGTTCTTGTTTCCTTTGTGAAACAGAAGCATAGAGATTGGCTTGAGCTTTTGTGAAAACAAAAAGCCAGGACTTATTCTCGGGTAATTTCGCTTCCGTAGCGTGAGGGCGTGACTCTACGTCCAACAAACACAAAAAACAATTGATGGATTTTCATAAATCCGACACGTACCAAGAACATTTTTATTGATGAATCAAACGGTCAAATCTTTTGCCTTAAACCATAAAAGGTAAATTCCAAGATCCCTCTTCATAGGCAAGGTACCTAAGCGAGAGGGTATGTAAGTGCAAAGTAGATAAACTATAAGGTATACGGGTGTCAACGTCAAAATTTATCGCACAGTGTTTTCTATGCAAACCTTCACATAGAACATCCGAGTGTCATAAATTGGTACCTCCGCAAAAACAGTGACGCGCATTTACCTTTTCAACAGGGCAGTCGTCCCTGTCCCAGCTCTCGGCAGCGATGAACCTGCAGTCGCTAACCGGCTCTTGCTGTAGCCTCCCTCGCCTTCGCACCGGCACGAGCGGTATATGGCGGAGCTCAACCGCTTCAATTTCGCCGCCAACTGCCGTTAAGGTCGATCTCCCTAAATTTGCCGGAGGCAAAACCGTTCGCAGCCGGTGGCGTTCACTGGCCACGACGAGCGAACGAGAAGCATCGGCTTCAAATCCCAATGGAAGTAGCAGGTTCTTTTCTCTGTTTTTTTCTAAAAACTTCCCCTTATTAATTAATTATTAAGGGTAAGATTATAATAATAAAATCCCCATAATTTCCTTAAACTTCACACTTTTCTGAAAATTGCAGCCCACCGTCAAATTCGATGAGATTGAGCTGTTGAGTTTTAGCCCGGTCAATCTACTTACTTTTTGTGTCTATTAAATTTTAGGGTTAATTGCAGGTGATCCGTGGGGGTTAGCCACTTGTCCCTAATTTTTTTTCTGACGCAAATTGCAGATAAACCCCTCAACTATCCCTTCTTTAGTAAGAATAGCGCTTATTTGGTAGGAGAATGAATTAGACAGCCCACAGTTCATCACGAATTGGTGTGTAAATAAATAAATTGAGGGGTGAGAAGTGCTATGGGGGTCACCTGCAATTTACCCTTTTCATGTTCAAGAATTATAAGAGAATATGGTTTTCTCTGCAAGATAAAGGAATGTGAAATTATCTGTTTGCAATACATTGACATCACATTACACCCAGGTGCTGCACATAAAACCAGATTTATTATATGATGATATTGGTTAATATGTATTTTTCGGGGACCTAAGCGCTAATAAAAATTTTAGAGGTAATAAGTAGCGAACCATCACGTTCAGAGGGTGTATTTGCAGTTAACTCTCTCTTTTTTTTTGTTAAACTTGATCATTAATTATGTAATTTCTCATCCTTATTTCAAAATTTTCTTCTATTGTGAAGGGTAAGTAAATTTTTTGAGGTGGAGCTCCAAGTGCGAGACTATGAACTTGATCAGTATGGCGTTGTTAATAATGCTGTTTACGCAAGCTACTGCCAACACGGTGAGCTTTCTAATCATTGTTAACGATTCCGCTCAAAAAAAAAAAAAGAGTTGTTATATGTGTTTGTTAGATATTTTTCACTAAACTCTTGAGCTTTTCATAAGCTAAGAAATGATAGAAGAAGATGAAAACCCAGGATGTTCTATTGCTGAATCTCTACTACTACCAACTCAATTAAGAACCAAAACACGACTGAATAGATTCTTCTTGGGATTTCATAACTGATACCGTGGTGTTCACTTAGCTATCTTTGGATTTATTATCTTTATCTGTTGTTTGTATTCGATTCCTTTCTTGTTGTATTGTATTCTCTTGTCTTTTGTCTTCTAGAATGACGCATATCATGCAAAGCATTAATAATATCGCTTATGCTAATTTCCGGGACCTTGTAATGTTCCATCATTCTCTTTCTAATGGAACACAGTGCCTATATTCTACCTTTCACCGAAAAAAGCAACATTGTCATCGTGAAGAGTCTGCTTCTCTTAGAAGGCCTATCTGTTATTCATCAGAAGTAAGAAATGGAAATCACATTAACGCTAGTGAGAAGAAAGGAGACGGGAAACAGAAATATAAAAACAATGGAACAGTGAGTAGAAAAAGGAAATATATAATAAGAGGAGATCGAGGAGAAGGAAATCAGGAAGTTCCTTACAAAGGAAAATATATGCTATTATTGCTACCAGAGGGCTTATAACTGAAAGTGACTGTATATGCACATGTGCACGCGAGGAGCGATGATTTTTATTGCTGGTCTTGTCAATTTACGATCTGATTAAGAAGTGAGAGGGGAGTATATCATGTTTGTTATGATCTCAACCTTATTGGGAGCGGGGTCATGATACTTAATTTCTCGGATCATTTCTTATTTGGTGCACTCATTATATGTTTATGCCGTTCTTAGTAGTGGTGCATAGATATATAATCTAATGACAAGTAATCTCACCCAGGAATAATATCTACTAAACTTTTCACTCAAGGTAAAAGAGTATAAAATTTTTAATCCTGGGGGATTTTCCATAACAATGAAACTATAGGTAGTAATTTCAAAACGACAATACTACAGGGTGTCTTTGTGCAATCAATCAAGCCCTTTACCTCTGTTGATAACATTCTTTGCAACTCTCTGGATTTTGAGAAATATATGAATTATACAGAGAGGGCGGCGGCCTCAGTGATTGCTCATCAATGTCAACATTATCGACAGCTAGCACATGTACTCCAACTAGTGTAAAGCATCAATTCTTATCACTAAAAAGATTTTCTTGCATCGGGTTTGACAGGACGTCACGAATTCCTTGAGAGGATCGGCTTAAGCCCAGATGCTGTGGCTCGAACTGGTGAAGCCCTAGCACTGTCAGAGTTGTCTCTAAAATTCTTTGCTCCTTTAAGAGTAAGCCATTTTACAAATTTGAGTAACCTTATATTGCAATTTGGTAGCTTGATATTAGAGATTAGTCTCTTCTTCCACTTCCAGAGTCGTGATAAATTTGTTGTGAAAGTGAGGGTTTCGGGCTTCTCAGCAGCAAGAATATTCATGGAACACTTGATATTTAAGCTACCAGATAATCAGGTCAGTGATATCCTACTGCTTTTAAAGTTTCTTTTTCATCAATTCGGCTTCGAATTCTTATGTGTAATCTGGTTTCAGCTCATCTTGGAGGCAAACGCCACAGCTGTTTGGCTCGATAAAAGTTATCGACCTATTCGGATTCCACCAGATTTTAGAACAAAACTTGCTCAGCTTGATTCCTCCTAGAGTTTAGATTAATTTGTCAATAATTGATTTACTATGTAAGTTCCTTTCCTTTTCTTTACCATGTTCATCTTCTAATTTGTAGTCTGAAAAATCTTTTCCTTTTCCCTTCTATATTTCATGATAATATTTGTTTATTTTCCAATATTCTTGTAATGATAAAACCCTCTATGCCTTTAAACTATTGTGCGCTATAGATCTTTGCTTAAAACCTTTATGGCTCTTGCTAGAATTAGAAAATTGGTTACGGGAACAATTTTTAAACAATTTTATCTTCACATTCATCGTGTAACGATGACAGTTCCACATCAATCATATTCTGGTTGGGTATAATTCTCAGTTAGCCATTAAAGGGCATGATGTACTTGGTGTTCTTTGTTTTGTTACATCTCTTATCTGTGGTGTTTGAGATGTCATTCTTGTCTTTTCAAGCTAGTTCGCAGCCATCTGTTGATGCTTACAACTATCTGATTTGATATTATCATTATTTTGAACTTGCTATCCTTTTAGTTTCGTTGTTTTATATCATAACATATGCCCATACATATTGAGCATTCTTTTTTCCACGTGACAAAGTAGGGACTCACACTGAGATATCATTTTTAATCCGGCGACATTACATCAAAACTTAGAAGTTATGGTAAATAAATAAATAAATAAATAAATATATATATATATATATATATATATATATATATATATATATATATATATATATTATATATATATTATATATATATATATCATGAACCTAAGCTGCGATAGGCAAGCACTTGTCCATCAAACTTTTTATCACTTTATTAAGCTTTGAGATTTGTGCTACACATCAATGCTATCTTTGAGATTTGTGCCTTTATGTGTATCACATGCTAGCATAAATTTCAATACAAAATCAATGGACAAAGAGTTTCTCTCCACTGAAGTGTTGAAATAAATGAACCTTAGAGGGTTTTTATGGAAATATATTATTTAATAATTGAATTTCATAGATAAAAATTAAAATATGTTTAATAAGTAGTATGTGAGTTTTAGTCCCACATTGGTTAATTGAATGTATTTTAGTTGGTTCAAATTAACACACGTATTATATATCGTATAACAAAGGTGTTACTATTATACAATTGTGTTGGTATATAAGCGAGCGTGCTCGTATGCGTAGGCTCGGGCGCGCGGTCCGATGCGTGTGCTTTTTGCACGTGCTGTCTTTAAACGAGCTTAAACGTTTTGCATGTGCTCACTTAAAACCAGATGAACCTCTCATACATTACAAATGTTACAATTATTGAATAGGTTTTATTGCAGATGTTACAAACATTGCAATAACTAAAATTCAAATCTTTGTCTCCCATGAACCTTATAAAAGGATTTTTTCTGATCATTTGAAACATATAGAAAAATAAAATCTCATGGCGTCTTCTTCTTTTAATAATTCTATAAGCTGTTAAGTATTGGAGGTTCTGGTGAACTAAAGAAGTAGTCGTGGTTTTTACAAGAAGAGCGCTTCTTTGGACTGCAGTCGTCTCATCCTCGAAAGTACTGTGCATACCCAATGCTACTGTAGGTGGGGCATAGTTTCCTCAAGGTTAGTCCTTTGTTAAGAAGGCAATTCAACACTTCTGTAAAGTATTTCAAACTTAAAGTGTATTTAATATGGTGTTTCTAACTTTCTGCTCTTTTCTTTCTTTCATATATGGTTTGTTCTGTACTATTTTGGATCTGTTATTATGCTTATTTATCCCAACAATCTTGAAGAAACTATTATTAATTAAAGTTATGTTGTCTGTTTTTCGAGTTGGTTCTGGTTCATATGCCTCTAAAATGGACATGTCTGGAATACCTGAAAAGTTCGCTGGCCAGTTTTTCAAACATTGGCAACAACGTATGAAGATCTGACTGACGACTAAGGGGCTGCTGGCAATGATATTAACAAAATGCTCAAAACTAGATAAAAAAGATCCTAATAGTGTAGATAAAATTGCACAATAGAGAAGGATCAAATAGCCAGAGGATGCATTTTGTTGGCCGTGTCCAACGTGCTCTTCAATGTATATTGTTCTTTTTCAACTACTACAAAGGCAATTATGGGATGAACTAGATAGAAAATATAATACTGAAGACCTCGGTCTTGAAAAATATTCTATGTCTAAGTTCTTAAAGTTTCAAATGGTCGAGGGTAAATCTATAACAGAACAAGCACATGAACTTTTGTTCATTCTTCATGCTCTTCGAGAAGCTGAAATGGAGCTTCCTGGAAAATTTTAAGTTATGACAATCATTAAGAAATTTTCTAATTTTTGTGAGACTTTTGGAATGTCTCTCAAGCATCATAAGGAAAAAAATAAATCTTGATGACTTGATGATTTCCATAGCTATTGAGGAAGAGCATAAAAAGCAGAAACATGTTGTGCCTGTTGAGCACCAACCTAAATCAAATGTTATAACTTCTGGGAAAAAGCTTAAAAACAAACCTAATGGCAAACCTGATGACAAAATCAAAGGCAAATCTAAAATCCAAAAGAAATAAAAAACAAACAAACCATGTTGGAATTGTGGACAGGCTGGACATTAGGTTAAAGCTTGTCCTACAAAGAAAGCTAAAACTAATCCAGGGTCCACTAGTGTACCTCAGGTTAACATGGTTATAACTGAGTTGACTGGGTCCATAGAAGGATATGTTTCTATTAACCCTAAATTACTAAATATTTATGAACTAAATGAATAGTTGATAGACAATGGTGTAAACGTACACATTTGTGTTTACAAATTGTTGTTTGTGTCTTACCAGCTTGCAATGAAAATACTTTAAAGATGGGGAACCAAACTGCATCTAAAGTGTTAAGATATGGACGAGTGAACATGAAGTTTCCTTCGGGGCGAGTTCTATCATTACACATGGTGCATCATGTTCCTGCTGTTCGACGCAACATTATCAGTGGTTCATGTTTAGTTAGGGAAGGTTATGAGTTTTCTTTTAAATGTAATAAAGTAGTTGTGTCACATGCTGGATCTTTTATTTTTAAAGGCTATGAGTCTGATGGAATGTATAAGGTTAGAGCAGAACCTGTTCTTAGTTTTGAAATAAATAAAAATTTTGTTTCTGATTATCCTGTTAGTAATAATATTGAATCATCTGATATTTGGCACAAACGTCTTGGTTCTATTAATTTTAATTCTTTAAAAAGAATGATGAATCTTAATATGATTCCAAATTACTCTTTAGATCATAGTAAGAAATGTCAAGTATGTGCAATAACTAAACAAACAATAAAATCTTTTTAATCGGTTGATAGAAACTATGAGTTGCTTGATTTAGTTTATACTGATATTTGTGAAGTTAATGGTGTTTTGACCAAAGACATGAAAAAATATTTTATCACCTTTATAGATGACCATAATAAATATTAAGGAAAATTTGCAAAATAGTCTGTTTTTGCTAATTATTTAGCAAAATAGACCGTTTTGCCAAATAATTAGCAATATAGACATATTTTTGTCCAACAGGCCAAAAAGAGGTATATTTTGCAAAACAGCTCAGAAAATATACGGAACTAGTAGTCCCGTATGTTTTAATCACGGATTAGTGAACTCAGAAAATTTCACAAAACATTGAGATGAACTCAGAAAACATACAGGACTACTAGTCTCGTATGTTTTTTTGAGTCATTAATCCGTGATTAAGTTGGCTCTAAACATACGGGACTAGTAGTCCCGTATGTTTTCTGAGTCTTGTTTTTTAAAATCGACCTCTTTTTTTCAAAAGAGGTCTATTTTGCTAATTATTTAGCAAAACGGACTATTTTGCTAAATAATTAGCAAAAACGGACTATTTTGCAAATTTTATCCAAATGTTATTATGTTTACTTGCTTAAAACTAAAGATGAAGCTCAAGAAAAATTTATCATTTTTAAGAATAAAGCTGAAACTCAAACTGGTAAAAAACTTGAAATGTTAAGATCTGATAGAGGTGGAGAATATACATTAAATGAGTTTACTCTTCTATGTTAATCGTTTGGCATAGTGCATGAGAAAACTGCTCCTTATTCTCCTCAATCTAACGGTATAGTTGAACGAAAAAATAGAACCTTAAAAGATATGATTAATAGTTTACTTAAAAGTTCAGGACTTCCTAAATATATGTGGGGAGAGACTTTGAATACGACTTGCTATATTCTGAATAGAGTCTATTAGAAACATAAAGAAAGTATTCCATTTGAACTTTGGAGAGGTCGAAAGACAAACTTAAAATACCTTAAAGTGTGGAGGTGTCTAGCAAAAGTGCTAATCCCAGAACACAAGAGAAATAAACTAGGTCCTAAGATAATAGACTCTATCTTTTTTGGGTTATGTAGAAAACACTTATGTTTTGAGATTCTTAGTGATCAAATCTAAAATCCCAAGCATAGATATTAATACAATTGTTAAATTTCTTGAAGCAACATTTTTGATGATGTTTTCCCTATGAAAACTGAAACGCCTAAAAATATTTCTAATAAAAATTCAGTATCTATCTCAACTTCCATTCCTGATCATGTGGAAAGGATGACAAATGTGGGGGCAGATAGTTCTAAATATGAATCTGAAAGATCAGATGATTTAGATGAACCAAGAAGGAGTAAGAGTAGTAGGATCGTCAAAACTTTTGGAAGTGACTTTGTCACTTCCAAAATCGAGGAGGATCCTATTTCCTACAGATCCGCTATGGCCTCGAAAGAGGCTAAACAGTGGAAGGAAGCTATCAAAAGTGAAATGGATTCTACTGTCTCTAATGAGACGACATGAGAATTAGTTGATCTTCCTCATATATGAAAGACAATTGGGTCTAAGTGGATTTTTAAAAGAAAAATAAAACCAGATGGAATCGTAGAAAAATTTAAGGCCAGACTTGTTGCCAAGGGGTTCAAACAAGTTGAATTAATTGATTTCTTTGACACATACTCTGTAGTTGCCCGAATGACTACAATCAGAATGCTTATAACATGCTTCTATATATGATTTTACAATCCACCAAATGGATGTAAAAACTGCTTTTCTTCATGGTTTTCTTGAAGAAAAGATTTATATGGATCAACCTGAGTGATTTGTAGCACCTAAAAAAATGAAAGGAAAGTATATAAACTTGTGAAGTCTCTATACGGACTTAAACAAGCCCCTAAACAATGGCATAAAAGGTTTCATACAACTATCACTGATTTTGGTTTCAAAATGATTGAGTCTGATAAGTGCATTTATAGCAAAGTAAGAGGTGCTTCTCGTATTCTTCTGTGTATTTATGTTGATGATAATCTATTGTTTGGATCTAACATTAGAATAATCAATAAGACTAAGTCATTCTTGAGTAATAAGTTTGAAATGAAGGACATAAGAGTTGCTGATGTGATTCTTGGCCTAAAACTATTAAGATCAGTTGACGGTATAACTATTTCTCAATCTCACTATGTTGAGAAGGTTATTGAGAAATTTGGCTATAAGAATTACAAACCTGTCAAAACTTCATATAATCCTTCAGTAACTCTCTACAAGAATGTAAGTGGAGTCTCTGTATCTCAATTGAGATATTCTTAGATCATTGAAAGCTTGACGTATCTTGCAAATTGTTCGAGACCGAATAAATCTTATGTAAAACCCCGTAAAATTTGAATATTATGTGAATAATAATAATAAATACGTTATATACTGATAAATAACATATTTTAATGTTTGAGTATGCTAGAGATTGATTTGAGATCAATCCAATGTATATATATGAATATAGGAGCGAAATCATGCACGACATACACGAGCTTGAATCTAGAAAAACAATTAGTTAAGAATATTTATATTTTATACACAGATACAGTTTGAATCCGAGAAAACTCAAAGGACAAAGGTTGTAGGTCTCTTCAACAGCTTTCCAACGCATCTTAAATCACCTCTTTCTGAGTTTTGATGTGAAAGTTACAGCCAAAACAACAAAGACATGCACACACAGATTTTTTCTTGATAAGCCGACTTACACCAAGTCAACTTACAGACTGTTTCTAGTTTTCTTTCGGGTTTTCGGGTCGTATCCGTGTTGTTTCGATCCCAGGCTTATATATACTCATTTAAATCATATTTTGCTGCACTTTTTCGTGAGAATACATCAGCCACCCCCTCTAAAACCCTAGTTCAACTTTATGAGTTTTTGAAAGAGTTTGGTGAAGGATTTGCCGAGAGGAAGGCGAGATCTGTGTTTGTACCAAAGGAAGAGGTATTGCACGCGTGTAGGAAGGATCAACAGCGATGTGAGGTAAGATTATCTTCGTCCAAACCCATCCCCATAGTTAAATAACTAGTTTAGATGTTTAATATGATGTTGAATACGTGTTTTTATGCTTTAATCTTAACATGTGGTGTTAAAAGTCAGATTTTTGATATTAAATCTTAAAGCAATGCTAGATTAGTAATCTTTTCTTTCTTTTTATGAAAGAATAATGATCATGATCTTTACGGTTTCAATTATTTTTGTTTTAAATATTTTAAACATGCTTAACTTATGTAATAACCCTAGTTTGATGTTTAATTATCTTTTTATGCTAATTAATCTTGCTTAAACCCTAGGTTTGTGATACCTAAATAACTTAGACATGTTTAAACGAATTTTATGTCTCTGTTCATATTTATAAATGACCATGCTATGGCAATCATGTGATATTTCATGTCTTTATTTAAAATCTTGTATAATCATGTTACTAACCCTAATTAGTTTTAATCCAAATGTTAAATCATGTAATCTGATCTCTGTTAATTAGTTGTACATGTTTATAACCTGGTTCCTATGTTCCATGTTGAATAGAATGAGTTTTGTTTGAGAAATATCGCAGAAAACATCGAAACATCAACCTGGAAGTTGACTAAGTCGACTTGCCACAAGTTGACTTATGCCAGGCATAAGTCGACTTACGCATAAGTCGACTTACGGACATTTTTCCAGATTTCATGAGTTTTGTTTTTGCACTGTTTTGAGATGCGTTTGCGGGGTTTGAACCGCACTTTTGTACACGTACATTCATGCATACACCAGTACAGTGTCGTTGCACACACATGAGTAACACAAAGAGGGTTTTGACAAGAGTTGGGTTGTTTATAATAGTATAGTGATTGTTTATACACTCGTTGGATATTGTTAATGAGCACAGCTCGGTTCTTTATGGGATAGTATTTCGATATACCAGATATATACAGTTTATGCATAAGATGAATATCGTTGATGAGCCCAGTTCAGTGCTACATGAGGTAGTGCATCGATATTCCATATGTACAGGCCATTTAGTAGGGTTTGGATGCTTTATATAGCAGTCTGTCTGTACGAGTATGCGATAAGGCTTGTAAGTCCTCTATTTATGGTGATTGTGAGTCATCTATTTAGATACATATGTGGTAGGCCGTTCCGCACTCAGGCTACGTACTGAGATCGCGATGAGACTAATGAAGCATGTACACAGTTCAGGATACCTACAGGATAGTACGTGACTTTGAGACTGTTGATTTATAGCCTAAGTTTTAGGTGGATGTCAGTTAGGAGTTCAACTCATCTTTGAGATATATAACCGAGATACTTTGCTCTTGAAAGAATATAGGATTATATGTCGGTATTTATTTTAACTCCTCAGTGATTGTGGAAGATATTATTAATACGATGTAATGATGTCTTTATATTTCTTTACTGTTTTATTTACTTGTTAGTTGGTATCAATGATTAGCGATTCACAATTTGAGACATATGATATATACATGAGGGTTTTCTTATTTGGATTATTTCGCTCGACGTACTAGTCTCGTGTTGTGAATTTCTAATTGTTGATCTTATTAGTTTGTCTTTTTCTAGTTCGCTGTTAATGTTTAGGTATCTACAATTTGAGACATATGGTATATACATGAGGGTTTACTTGTTTAGATTATTTCGTTCGACGTACTACGTTTCGTATTGTAGGTTTCTAAATATTAATTCCATTTGATACAGAGAAAATAATATAGGTAGACTATGCTTAATAGATAGAGCATTTACTTCATCTAGCAACACTTT